GAAGGGGCATGTAAATTTCAGCAGTCGTCGTAGGGAAATCCGCGGGGGATTTAAATATCCCCCGCGGCATTTAAATAAAAATGTCCGCCGCTTTTTTCCGGCTTTTAAAAAAGCCGGAAAAGAGTGTCTAGACTGGCCCCGATCCTCCGGAAAAAGTGCCCTTTTCCGGAGGCTCTTATTCTTACTTCAAAGCCGGAAAAAGCCGGAAAAAAGCCGGAAAAAAGCGGCGGACATTTTTATTTAAATGCCGCGGGGGGCATACCCTATAAAATCAACAGGGAGGCAGCATACCAGAGAATAAATCACTCAGGGTACATCTACACTAGCTCGTTAGTTCGAGCTATGTAGGGTAATGAGGGCAAGCGGAGTTGCAAATGAAGCCTGGGATTTAAATATCCCGGGCTTCATTTGCATGTTCCCAGATGCCGCCATTTTTAAATCCCCCTTAGTCCGAACTCCGTGCCCATGGCTACACGCGGCACGGACTAGGTAGTTCGAATTAAAGATCCTACTCGTGGAATGAGGAGTAATGGTAGTTCGAATTAGAATCTTTAATTCGAACTACCTAGTCTGTGCTGCGTGTAGCTGCGGGCACGGAGTTCGGACTAAGGGGGATTTAAAAATGGCAGCGCCTGGGAACATGCAAATGAAGCCCGGGATATTTAAATCCCGGGCTTCATTTACAACTCCGCTTGCCCTCATTACCCTACCTAGCTCGAACTAACGAGCTAGTGTAGCCATACCCATACAGACTTACAGATAGACACATAGATGCTCTCAAATATATAGTGTTTCCACCTACAAAGCTTGAATGTCTTGGCTAAGTCACAGATTGCTTCTCTCCTTATGGTACAGTGGCAGCACAGGTACTTTATCTGACAGTCTCCTGTTTAAATGGTGATGGTCCTTGACTGCTCCCTTTATCTATACATTACTAGAGTCTGAATTTACTGACAACCAGGACATGCTGTAAGATCTCCTTGTTGTTCCCGGACATAATACATTTGTGTGTAAATAAAAAACCCATAATTATATATGCTCTAATACACCTACTATTAGAGCAAAGTTGCATGCCTATACATTGAACTTTTAATTTGAAACTAAAACAGACTTCACAGATTGATTCCTGTACCTATTAAAGAAAGAAAGAAAGAAAGAAAGAAAGAAAGAAAGAAAGAAAGAAAGAAAGAAAGAAAGAAAGAAAGAAAGAAAGAAAGAAAGAAAGAAAGAAAGAAAGAAAGAAAGAAAGAAAGAAAGAAAGAAAGAAAGAAAGAAAGAAAGAAAGAAAGAAAGAAAGAAAGAAAGAAAGAAAGAAAGAAAGAAAGAAAGAAAGAAAGAAAGAAAGAAAGAAAGAAAGAAAGAAAGAAAGAAAGAAAGAAAGAAAGAAAGAAAGAAAGAAAGAAAGAAAGAAAGAAAGAAAGAAAGAAAGAAAGAAAGAAAGAAAGAAAGAAAGAAAGAAAGAAAGAAAGAAAGAAAGAAAGAAAGAAAGAAAGAAAGAAAGAAAGAAAGAAAGAAAGAAAGAAAGAAAGAAAGAAAGAAAGAAAGAAAGAAAGAAAGAAAGAAAGAAAGAAAGAAAGAAAGAAAGAAAGAAAGAAAGAAAGAAAGAAAGAAAGAAAGAAAGAAAGAAAGAAAGAAAGAAAGAAAGAAAGAAAGAAAGAAAGAAAGAAAGAAAGAAAGAAAGAAAGAAAGAAAGAAAGAAAGAAAGAAAGAAAGAAAGAAAGAAAGGAAACATTGTCTCCTAACTATTAGGAGGAATGTTTCTCTTAATCTTGAGTTTAACATATTGTGAGCTGGGTACCACTAGTAATCATAAGCAATTTTCAAAGGGTGATATTGTGTTCCCTATGAAACCACAAGCATTCGGAATATCACTCAAAAGGCTCAAAGATGGCTCAGTAACTTCCTGATCCATTTCCGTGCGCAGCACTGATAATAAGCTGACCTTTCACAATTCAGGCTACACATGTACTGCATAGGGCCATTTCCCTATTACTGTTAGTGAAATTCTGCCTTTAGGGATGTATAACTAAATGAAGAACTATACTTTGTTGCTTTCATGTTGCAGACATACAGGGATTGAAAACAGAATTATTTGTCCCATGAGTGAACACCCTGAAACAGGTATAAGTGATTGGCTTAGCAGAGATCTGAAAATCTTTATTCAACAGATTGGCCATTTTCCAAATGAGAAATCAATGACACTGTATTCTGGGGCAAAGGGAAGCTGGAATGTTTTATGCCCTTTTGTTCTACACATAGCATGCATCCAGCCAAGCTCTGAATTATGCAGACAGAGTTGATGACAGCAAACCTCTCCATGTCAAACCAGGACTTCAGCAGCATAAGGTACATTCTGGCAGGATTCTGCATAGACAAGGCTAGCAAGATTTTGGAATGCAGCCTGTAGGAAGACAAACATATGCAGCAGAAAGCACAGAAGAAAACAATAGGGGTTTTCTGTGTTCAGGGTAGTCAGCTAATTACATGCCGGGTGGTTTTCTTTCTGCATAATAGAGTTATAGAAGACATGGGATGAGTAAATAGCTATCTAGCCTATATTGGACTGTAAAGATCAGCCTCTTGTAATACAGAACTGCAGAGGATAACAGAGCATGCTAACATAACCATGAGCTAGATCTGAAGTTGGGTATTTACAAATAGTTTCCTAATACCTGTAGTATCCTGGGTTATCTAAATATGAATTTGTCAAAAGCAAGCACTAGTCTCTGGTTGGTTGAAAATTCATTGAAAAAACTCCCCATCATGGAAAAAACATCCAACCTATTATCATTATGCCACATGGGTAACCATAGAAGATATCAAATTAGAGCACTATAAAAAAAAGCCCTTTGGCACATCATTTGGTGAATTCATCTTGATATAAAAACTGAACAAGTTACAGGATCGTTAGGACTGTATATTTTGTCAAAAACTCAGGCAGCCAGATTTAAGACTTAATCACATCCCTCTACCTCCCCCCCCCCACACACACACTGCTTTGTCACATTGCTTACAGCAAAGTATGTCTAGAGATGACTTATCTCTGTTACTCAAGACAATGAGAAAGATTAAAAACAAAAAACAAAACCCTACATTTTTTGGGATTATTTTTCCACTTGTACACTTGAGCAGTGATTTAATTTTTCCTGTTAGGCTGACGGCTTTGGAGAACTGAGACCCTCATTTATAATACTTCTGGTAAGTTCACTTCAGTATAGTAAACCAAATTGTCCTATTAATGGACCTCTATATTGTTGTAATAATAGCCTGTAGAGCTTCATCATATCAGCTGCTTAAAGGATAACCATACCCAGCTTGATGAAAAGTCTTCACCCCTTTCCTGTTGAGAGAAAATGGTTACACATTTCTAATAAATGAAGCAGAAACTGTCATTTTTTTGGCAAACTGTTAACTAGCTGTAGCAGCCGCATTGCCACAAGTTGCTTTTCCAGAGTAATTACCATCAGGCTCCCTGTGGTATGCAGTGTTTAGCACATTTCTTCTCTGTTAATGAATGTAAGAGCAGGCAACACCACTATTAGTAATTCTTTTATTCGTAGTCCTCATTTTCCAGATAGGTCACGTTAAACACAGCCATTAAACAATAGCGGTTGAAATAATCCATACAATGTATGCTGCTTTTGTTTTTTTGTTTTGTTTTTTTTGTGATGTTCACCAATCACTTAGTGCAGCTCTTAGCAATTGGGGACACAAGGGTTGATAAATGTGAACTGCCAACCTGTGGAACAATGGGGCCAGAGAAGTCAAGACCTTAATCAGGTTTCATTTAATTACACTTCAAATCAACAAATCTTGATAGCCAAAACTCCCATTTGAATTAATGCACTGATAAATGCTGCCTGATGTCAAAAGAATGTAATTAGACAATAATGAGTGGGCGTATAATATGCCAGACTTCAGACTACTTGTTGACCCAGGATTTCTACTCCATTAGGCAACAAACAGCTGGAAATCTACTTTGAATAAAGCATCGAACTCCAACACTAGCATCCATGACTTTTTAATGGTCATATTTCTCAATGGACAAGCTCTTCTGATCTAATGGCACATCACATTTGAAGAGATGTTCAATTCTGTTGGACAGAGCTAGAAAAAGAATCTAACTGATTTTTAGTTCAGTTGTTTATGATTTGGTTGGTCAACTTTTTCTGAAATCATAAGAAATGTAACTATTTGCTTTGGTTAATATACAAGCGGAAAACTTCCATTCCTCTCCACTCATTTCACACATGTTTATTAGCTGCATAATAGATTTTCTCCTTGTGACAATAACTGTTTTTACAAATGTCTGGTGGAAATTTTCAGTTAGTATTAAAAATCACTTCTAAAATCTGCCTTATGTACTTAAAGAATGCAAAAAATAATCCATGGGCTTTAGTTTTAATTGATGGATTGTTACCATTTGTTGGCAGTGAAGCTGAGGGATAGAGAGTTATATTTTATTTCTTCCCTGTGTGGTATTTTCTTCACATAATCACACAGATGCTAACTTAACCTCAAAACCTCCTCCAAAGTAAACTTTATCAGTTGATGATGATGGATCAACAGCAGCAGGAGATGACTTCTAAACTATGAAACAGATTATCGTATTCTGAGACTGTCTCATTGGGTGTGTCTAGATTATATCCCTCTTTTCACAGAGGGATGTAAATTAGACACTTCAAAATTGCAAATGAAGCTGGGATTTGAATTTCCTGCACTTCATTTGCATAATTGCATCATAGCGCTCTTTTGAAAAAGCGCTATTTCAAAAGTAAAATTGAAGTCTAGACACAGTTCTTTCAAAAAGAGAAGGCTTTTTCGAAAGACTCTGTAAACCTCAAAAAGTGAGGTTTATAGGATCTTTCAAAAAAGGCTTCTATTTTTGAAAGAACCGTATCTAGATTAAGGTTTCAATTTCAAAATAGCGCTCTTTCAAAAGAGCGCCATGATGCGATTATGCAAATTAAGCACAGGAAATTCAAATCCTGGCTTCATTTGCAATTTCAAAGTGTCTAATTTACATTCCTCTGTGAAAAGAGGGATGAGGTCTAGACACACCCATTGGAAGCAATATGCCAGAAATCTGCAACACAAGGCAGTTGTTGGACAAATCAAGTTAAAAAACCCCACAAGATTTCCTAAACTCAGCTATAAAGCTGTGAGTCATGAATTCCGAATTACCTCAGACCGGTAAATAAATAATCACTACTAAATACAGATAATGTTTTAAACAGCTCTAGCTAGTAAATCACTAGTGACAGAGAGCCTTAAGGTAAATTTTCTTTTTCGGCTGGCACAGCCCTTTCTTAGAATGTTGTATTTTTATGTTTTCAGACACTTACAATGAATTGTACAATTGGTTAGTCAGCGTTAAAATTGTTTAAAAAATACACAAGCCTCCCTCACTTGACTACATTTATATAGTGGTTTAGGCTTAGCTGAATAAAGGATCTCACTGTCTGAATTAAAAGCATGGTGATCATAAACTAAAGTGATGGACACCAGGGAAATATGGATAAACTACAGACAAACCAAAAAGGAATCCTTTCTCTGCCATGGAATTTTAGCTATCAAGCAAAATCAACTTTGAATCTCTTGGCAAAATAATACTGTAGAACACAGACAACAACACATTTTAAAAACACAGCTTGTCCAAATTATGGAAAGTAGCTTGATAAAACATGTACCTCATCCCTTGTTTATATATGATTGTAGACTTTTTGTACAACAGAAGCTGAGAGCAAACTTTTGGAATGGCTGGTTTTCAATAACCAAAGACAATTCATTGTATGATTGACTAGATGAGAACACCTTTTACACGGAATACACAACATCACAACCAGATATTGGACAACACTGTTTCTTGAATTGATTAATATTCTGATATTAATATCAATATTAATATTCTTAACTGATATTAATGTGAATACTAATATTCTTGAACTGATTATTTATGTATGGCCTTGTGGGATCTGATATGGCCAACGTGAAGTAAATTCACTCTTTTCAATAAAATTAAAGATATTTTGTGTAATCCAGAACCATCATTTTCTAGAATTGTATATCATGGTGCTATGTTATAGAGAGTATTTAAAATACCCAGAGGAAAATTTTAGTCTATTTTTTTTGTCAGCTGCTGTTTCTTGTGCTTGTGCTAGTTTCATTTTAAGCAAATATGTAAATGTGTATTTTTTCAATTTGTGTCTAGAAGCAATTGTGAAATTTGCTAAACATAGTACAGAAGGGTAGAGGTTAAAAAGAGGGAAAGTGGGAGAGAGATTATTTTGCAAATTATTTCAACAAGACAAAAACAAAGCAATTTAAAAATAAAAGTTAAAAACAAACCAACTAAAAAGAAGCAGCCCACACCCAACGTCTTTGTAAACTATAGCATTTTCCAAGAAACCAGAAAAAACAGTGCTTGTATCACACAGGCTCTGACACAGTTTTATACTCTATGGACTTAACAGTAGCATAAAATATTAAATATTAGGATCAGTGGTGATTTCAACCAAGAATATGTTATCTAAACGTGGCTGTGTATGTGCTTGGAAAAAAAAACAAGGAGGTTTCAGGTGTTGGTTCAAGTGTAATTTTTGTTATTAAACATGGGTTTGCAATAGAAGGACTTGCACATAACCATGATTGATAGTTGTATTTGTAGGCCGTTCAGTTAGCTCCATCAGCTCACTCAAACACATTCTGAACAGATTATGTACTGAAGTACTTTGTAGACCATACATTAAACAAGAGACTTTGCTCTGAGGCACTGCTTCCCACACTCCATGGGGAAAAGGAAGCAGGAGAAAACAAAACTCATAGAGTTCGACAGCTACTGAGGCAACACTTGCCATTTACAATATAAGCCCAAATATTTTTGCAACACAACTATATATTAATTTAATAAAATACACAATATAGCTCTTATACACTTAACAATTTGGCTCATATGCACTGAATCTGCAATAAATCAATAAAAATATGTCATTTGATGTAAACACATTGAATCTTCTTACATTTGCACATTTAAATGGTCATGTGATTTGTGTAGATGTCTAAGACATTTTCACTTTCCTGAGCTATTTTAGTGTCCACAAATTAATAAAAAAGTGTTAATAATGTTAATTTGTGTCATGTATTACCCTTCAAAGGTAACAATTTTGAAAACCTGTATTATACATCAGGTTTGTTTCTAACTTAGTGCTAACTGTTTATATTTTTGTTGGACACTAAAATGCTAAGTAGGTATTAAAACTTTTGTTTCTTTTTATCAAGTGAATTAGCTTATGTGTGTGCAGGACAAAATGGACTATATCATTTTACATATAACTTTAATATGATATGAAGTGTGTTACTAATGACCAGGATATGTTTTTGTTGAATAATGATCTGGAATGACTTTTGTTCATGTTTTTGTTTCATTTTTGTGACAAATAACTTTATACAGAAATGTTTACCACAAATGAGTGTTAATGTTTGGTGTAGCTTGGACTACTACAAAAACTTTTTTTAGGACTTTCAGTAGAAGACTGTGGTGACTGTTGGAAATTCACCACAGATCAGAATGATTCAACCCTGCTTTTCATGGGGTTTATAGGTAAACAGTAAAGTCAGCATCAACTATTGAGGACAGTCTTAAAATATCAGACGTAGTTCTATTCCTCCTGTCTCATACCTTCCTATCAGATTGTCAAAATGGCACCGTCTTTCCTTCTTTCTCTTGGTTCTTAATGTACTTCACACGGTCCTAATGAAAGTTTGGTCAAAACGAAACCAGTATTTTCTGTGAAAAAGAAAGAGCAGTGAAAAGAACATACTTGTGGGCACTTCAGATGTTCACTAAAAGCCTTAAAGCAGCATTGGTCTTCCTTCATCCCTGTAAAACTGTTATAACCAGGGGCGATCTTTTTTTCTTTTTTTTTTCAAATAAGCAGAAGAGGCTAGTAAATGCCAGCCTATACTTTTTTTCACTTCCTCACAGCTACAGGGTCACTTCCACGACAGTCCTGTAAAAGCTTGTCAATTTCTCTCACAACTTCCTCTGCATCCACGGACTCTCTCCCTAGATCCCGATTTGAACGGTCTAACTGCTCCAGAACAGAGTCCATCTCACTTGAGTCTCGGCTCACTCGGGAATGTACATCTGCTAAGACCCTAGCCATCTGATCTGAAGCTATGAATGGAACGTCTCTTGACTGTTTACTAGGAGATAGATACTGACTGTCAGTTGACAAGTACTGGCTGGTTGGTTCAGCCAAGGCTCCTGCTTTCACTTCACAACCATCCAGTGGTCCTTTTGTTGAGGTGCAAGGCTCAATGCATGTCTTGGTTGGGCTGCTCGATGCTGAGGGAACCTCCTGAAGAAGAGGACTCAGGGCACGTTTGGCTTTTAAATAAGGTTTAACATTGGCAATGAGAATAGTGTGCTCTCGCTTGTCTTTCCCAAATGTACAAAAAGTCTTTTTCCCGGTGGGATTCACAGTTTCGTAAGTCTCAGTCTCAACGTTAGCTTCAACTGTGGGTACAAAGAGATTTGTGCGATAATCTGCATTTTCAGCCTGATTGGTTGTAGGGAACTGTGGCATCCAACACCTGTCAGAATGACCGAGCACTCTGCATTCATCTGTGCAATTAACACACTCTTCTTGTTCTGTAAAGCAAATGAGAAAAGCAACAACTCCTGTTATTAGGGGTTCCTTTAAACTAATATATAGGCTATGATTAGCTGTCAGTGGGCTTTCCTGTTCTCTGGTTTCTTAACTATGGAAAAAAGGAATAATTAAAACATTTCAGGAGAACTGCAATATAACTAACTGGTTGAGACAATATATTTACTTAACTCCATTCTCTCACTATTGAAGCATTCACATAGCCCAAAGGAAGTAAAAAGGGGTCATTAGGGAATCAGTCTCAGCAGAATTGAGCTTCATCTGTAAACTAATCTGCTGTAGAAATCTGTTAGTCTTTGTTCTGTAGAACTCATCCTAGAAAAATAGTGAACAGTACTTAAGGAACTCATAAGGCATTATCAGGATTAATTTTTCAAATCAAATAACTGAGCAATGACCAGCTTTCTGGAACTACAAACACTTCTTAGAAAAGAGCAAGCAGAGTTTTCATTTTTGTCACCTCCATTTTGTTTGTAATTGCTATGCTGAGTGACAATCATGAAATAAAAAGATTTTCTAAAAAAAAAAAAAAAACAAAAAAAACCACCAACAAAAACCCAATACAA